TAGTTTAACAGTTAACTCATTAAATCTTCCTTAAAAACCAAAAAGTACCTTTGACAGCCTTTGTAGACGGTATGCTGCAGCTTCATGCACAACAACAGTGTCTGATACAACTTCCAGCACATCCTCAACTGGCAATCCATAAGTACTTACCTGAAATTATAACAAGCATGTAATATGGTACATATTCATTTTAGCAAAAGATAATGTCCATGTATACTCTAGCATATAAAAGGTCACTCATCATGCATATAGCTTAAACAGTATAAATGCTAAAAATTAACAGCCAGAATCTTGGCATTTGCTTTATTCAAGAAAACAGAACCAGTTTACCTACCAAACTTGATGGAATAATGGATATCCCAAAAGAATCAAACTCAAGCGACTGAACAACCCCTGAATTAATGTTGAATGAATAACCCCGCACCTAGAATTGCAAAAATATGTAAGACAAATATACGACAAGTGTAAATGATATGACATAAACTTTTGTTTATGTCAATGGCAGTTAATAGAAGCCTTTAACTGGATATGATTTAAACTTTTTTTTATTATGATATCGCATTTAATAAAATGCACAACCAACTTCTGTTGATTAAATGTTTTTAGTGACTTCGCATTCAAGTAGTACTATTTAAAGACCCAAACTTATCTCTAACCATTATATTTCTCATACATCTAGAAACATCATTTCTTACATTCATTTTGCAAAAGAGATCTAACTTTTTTTCCTAAATCAAGATTTAAATAAGTCTCTTGTTCTTCATTTATAAATCTACCCTTTGAGAGAACTTGTTTTGGTAATTTTTGTAAAGCATTGAACTTTATAAAAGAAGTTGAGATATCTCTTGGATTGTTTTTCCAAGTATTTTTAGACAAACACTTAAAGATGTAATTGGCTAAGCGCATATCAACTATCTAGCGAAAAGAAATTGAAAAATATTGAAGTAGAGGATGTAGATATGAATTTTTGCTGAAACTCTAAATATCAATTGCATTTCTCTTCTAACTCTCTTTTATTTATAATTGTGTCATGAAGAGATTAGAGTTTTTGAAATGAATTGTTTATGTTTCTGTTATGATCAATTCCATGACTGAATACGTTGATTTATTAAAAACATATAATCTGTAGGATAATTGTCATATTATTTTAGCATACTCCAAATCTTAGTGGTGTATTGTTTGAAATTGTTTAATCTTTAGGAAACCCAATTACCTCCCTTCTATGGTGTCAAAAACCCAAAAGCTACCGATTTGTATTTTTTAGGAAAATCTATAAAATATTTTAAATAAATTTTGCGTATAACTTAAGTATAAGATTTAGTACTCTTCTATTTAATCACAGTTTTTTTCCATGTTATGATTGAGTTAAAAATTGGTTTTTAGTTTGTCGATCGTTTTTTAGTTTGTCGCATAGTTCTTTGAGTTACATTTTTCCGTGAACTGATATAACATTTCTTAGACCTCTTTCTTTCATGTGCTTTTTCAAAATCTCAATTATTGTCCAAATTAGATAATTATGCCAATAAATTAAATTTCATTATTTCATATGTATGTTAATTAAATTATCATTTCCACAAAAATAATAGTAAACTAATTAAATAACTTTAGTTTCGAAGTCCTAATCTAATACATTTTTTCAGACAGGATGGGTTCAAACTACAACGGGTGAGACTGTTATTTATCCCATAAATTGCATGTAAATTATAAATTTCAAATTTTAATACAAATTTGCAATAATAAGCATTCAAATTTTATTTAAATGTCAGAAGTCAATTAAAAATCTCCAATTGAGGTAGGACAAGTAGCTTTGAAACTACTTTTTAACTGGATAATTTAGAAATAGAGAAAATTTAAGTGAGATACAGAAGAATAGAGATAGACCAAGAGAAAATAGAAGGTGAAAAAATTTAGGAAGAAATGGAGTAGACAAGATAAGTTAGGTAGAACAAATAACTATAGGAATGATCTTATCCTATATCACTAATTATTATATAAAACTATAGTTTATGTTTATTAGTTTTCAATTTATTTTATTGCTAGATAATTGTTTTAGGACAACAAATCTAAAATGCATTTGCAAAGCATCAATGAAGTATCGAGAGTTTATAAAACGTTACCAAATTTCAAATTTAAAAAATAAATATTTTTGAAGTGTTCAACATCTGGCCAAGTGCCCTAAAGGCATCAACATCGGGCTCAGTTTAGACAAGGATATTGTGGTTGTGGTTGTGGTTGTGGTTGTAAATCAAGAAGTATTAGTGGAGTTCCCTTCCCAGTTTACCTTAAAATAATTTAAAAAATGTAAAGTGTGGTACAAGAATTAATGGAGTTACCTTCCCGATGTTTTGCCCACCTGGTGTTACAACTCTGTATCCTACCTAGGACATGTCAAATTTTGAAAGGTAAAACACTATTATCAGCAGTAATATATAGATATAACTTTGAAGAGAGGAAGTTTATTATCACTTAAAAGTGTGCTTAGGTTGTGTATTCCTTGCGCAAAAGATGAGAAAACTTTGGAAAGAAAAAAGTAGCTTCAGAAACAGCCCATTTGGTTTAATTCATTCCTGTTCTTTTAGAACTCAATTACTAGATTATGTATGAATCATATATAATCTCGTAATTGAGTGGTAAAGAAATGAGAATGAATTGAAGCAAACTGGCCATGAGATGAACCAACCACCAAAAGTACAATACCAGTGTTTCGAGTCCAAACATCTTAAATTCATTGTCCATCACATTCTCATCCTCAACGAGCACAACATCACCAATCTACAAAGGAACAAGTTTGAGCTACTAAGGCAACTGGCGAACTGACGAATCCAAAACCAGAAAGCAGAGCACAAATAAAAAGAAATTGCCGGTGGCTCTGGTTGATCGTTTAACTATTGATGAAGAAAGCAGTATGAGAATAAAAAATCATTTACAGAGAAAGTAGTGGAAGAATACAAGGTAATAACACTGGTTTCAATCAACAACAGGACAGCATCACGAGGACATGAAAGTAACAAAATAGAACCTACCTGGCTAACATCTTCCAGAAGAAACCGTCCTGATTCCCCAGAAAGCAAGTTGGGCCTCACTTCTACAACTAGTACCAGCCACTGAAGAAATTTAAAAAAAAAATTAGAAAATAAGTAACTGATTCTGCAGATAACCCAAGCGTCATTGAAAGATTCAGTACATCAAATACTAACTAAAAGTAAGGTATGGATAAAAAGTCAAAACAATTTTTGGAGCCCATGCGCATGATAAGAATCCAGCAAGTAGTCAGAAATGTATAACTCCGCAATTGCAATTCAAGCTTCGTTACTTACAGAGACGGTATCCACCCACAATTGCGAGACAAAACCCAGGCTACGAGCGGATTGAACGCTAATAACTTGCTTCGCCACAATATTTGATCTCTTCATCATTTGCTTCCCTCTCTTTAAACCCGCGTTTTCCCAATCACTCTTCTTCGGAACCAAATCCTCTTCCTTGGAACTTGATTTTCCTTTTCTCTCCTCTTCCTCCTCCTCCAATTCAAGGAAATTTAATTCCGAAGAAGAATCCGTTGAACTACTGGCATCAGTTCCATCTCGCCTAGATGATACTTTTTCTAAATCTTGGAAACTTGTGGTGGCCGCGCTTCCTTCGTCCTTGAACCCTAACTCACCACTGAACAGGGATTCTTGAGAGCCAAGCGCAGCCAATTGGCGATTGGCTCCTGTATTTGACAGAGAAAAGCTGCCATTCTGGAAACCAAAGTTAATCGGTAGATATATTGTGTTGGAATTAGAAGAAATAAAAGCTGAATTCCGGCTTCCGGGAAAAAGCAAAGGAAGAGAAGAGGGGCGCAAGCAGTGACACATGGCTGGCTCTGAGTTTGAAGTGTAACCGGAGAATGTAATTAGACGGATGTCAGGTGGAATTACAGTCGGGCGCCCGTATCCGCCCCATCATCATGATTACCCGTACCGGCAATATGAATCGGACTTTGATTTGAGAATGGGAAAAACATATATATATATATATATATATTTATTTATACAAATTCGTTATCTATATAACTTTTAAATAAAAAATATTGAAAAATAAAATATTTTAAGGAAGACAACAAAAGAAACGCATGTTGTTAAAATAAATTATGTAAATATTTCTTTTTTACAATAAAAACTAGTTGCTTATTTAAATATTTGATTAAATTTAGTTTTAAATAGATTAAAGCGAAATGTAGCACCGGAAAGGAGGAAAAAAAAAAAAAAAAAAAAAAGGGGGGCCACGTCAGCAGCCACGTCAGTAGGCCCGGTCAGCAGTCCCGGCCAACCGGGGCCTGCCACGTGGCAAGACCGCGTCACTCCGAAAGGAGCCACGTTGGCGATCCGCGTGGGTGCGATCCGACGGCCCAGATCAATCGCGCGATCGGACGGCCCAGATTCAATCGCACGGACGGCCCAGATTCAATCAAAAACGAACGGCCCAGATTAAAACGAAATGAACGGCTGTGATCAAAAGACAAGGGGTTATAAATAGAACCCCCACACCAGACCACAAACCCTAGCCGCCCGCCGCTCGCCGGAGAAGACGAACCAGAGGCCGACCGCCGCCACCCGCCGCCGCACCGGGGAAATTTCCGACCGCCGATCGAGGTAAATTTCATACCCCCGACTCGTTTTTCTCCGCTGATTCCTCCTATGGCCAAATTGAGGCCGAAATCCCGGCCAAACGGCCGGAATACGCGGCCGAAACCCAGCGGCGCCGCCGCGCCCCTCTCGGTTTTTGCCTCCGACGAGGTCCTTCCCGGCCTCCGTTCGATGCAATTTTTATATCACCGTGATCACCATTCTTTTCTCTACAGGTTGACCGAAGCTGAATCACCAAAACACGAACCTCGCCGGAGAGCCACCGTACCCGAGAGCGCCGCCGCCGGTAAGCTCCGCTTTTCCGTGATTTTTGGCCCCCCCGGGGGGCCCTAGGGTTGTTTTCTAACAAGGACCAATGCGAGTGTGGCCGAATTTGGTCGAAAACGGCCGAAAACAGCCAACCCGAGGCGACTCGCCGCCGCCAGCGGCGGCGCCGTCGCCGGAGCACGGCGGAGCCGCCGTGCCGGAGTTGCGATTTGGTCCGAAAGGGGCCCTGGGCCTAATTTAGATTTTTTTGGAACACGTGCAGGTACTGTTAGTGTGTTTCAGTTCCCCGGAAAAAATTCAGGGAAAATTAGGGACGGCCTGCAGGCGCACTGTGAATCGTATTCGGATCCCGAAAACAAGTAAGGACCCCTCACCCTATTTCCTATCACGGTATTAAAGTTCAAAATGATAAAACGGTATTTCTTGAATTAACGAATGTGTGAAATTGCTTAAGGTTGCTAATGGAGCCCGAGTCCAATGTGATTGATGATTTACTGTTATTTGGCCTGTTTTACAGCTTTAAATGCATTATGAGGTTTGATGTGTTCATTTTATAGTTTCGAGTGCATATATTACTGTTTTATTAATTATGGGTTGAATGACTGAAGAACTGATACTGTATGTTGTCTGTTCGGCATGAATTACGATTTGCTTGTTTAAATGTGAATTGATGATGCTTATTGAGGAAAAGGGAAATGAAACATTGTATAGACTGATAATTGTATGATGGGGTCAGCCTGACTAGATATTCTGGGAGATGGTGGACGGACCGGGTCCGTAGGGAACCCTACCGGGATTGTGGTCTCACATGCCGGACGGGGTATGGAGATCTTATGGTTTTGGCGCCCATACCGGACGGGGTATGGGGACGGCCCGTTTCACCCTCATACCGGACGGGGTATTGAGGTTTATGGTTTTGGCGCCCATACCGGACGGGGTATGGGGACGGCCCTGGAAACTGATTATGAATGTTAAAGGTTAACGGGTAGCGGGACCCCTATGGACCCCCATGGATACTAGTAGGCTGGTAAATGAGAAAAGAATATGTTGTATAATGATTGAATTACAAAAGGCGTGATAAGTGCTATGTTTTACAGCTTATATTATTCCATGTTTGTGATAATGTTATTGTTTTCTTATATTGTTTCATGAATTCTACCGATGTAAGTGGATGGTAAAGGTTTTCATGTTAATAAACGAGTTTATTGCAAATCATGCTCCATTGGTCTTTTGTGTTTTTCTACCCACCTTTACCTCCGTGACGGTGAGATATCGTGATGTTCTTACTGGGCTAGTGTAGCTCACTCCTTATTTAACCATTTCAGATCAGGAAGACATGGTTCCCGAGCCCGTTCCGCAGGAGGACGACGAAGGGGATACCTAGAGACTCTGTAGTCATACTCATAGTTTTATTTTCGAGTTTCTCTCTTAGTTAGTTTAATCTTTTATATTTTAAGTACGTTTCTGGTTTTTCGTGTAAGGGATGTTAACTGAAATTTCGATCTCGCTTCCGCATTTGATATATTTAAATACTCATTTCATTTTAAATATTTCCGGGGCCGTTACACGAAATGTTAAAATTAAATAAAAAATTGTGTTATTTACTTAATTTCATATGGATTGAATTAAATCAAATTGTAGTATTCAAATTATAAACCTTATAATTTTAACAACAATCAAACATCATTAGATTATATTAAAGTTTTTTAAAAATAAAAAATAAAAGAAAATATTATTTCTAAGCCAATGATTAAAAGTTGAACACTTTAAAATTTAAAACTAAGAGTTAAAACACTTTACACCTATGCTTTTTCTTTTTCCACACTCATAATAATTTTGCATATAGATATGGAGACAAATTATAAATATTTGATTTTTCACATAATTATTGTACTATAGAAATTGTAAAATTCTTAACTAGTAAAGTAAATTATATGAGACTATAAACTATTTAATATTTTCACAATTTAATTTTGTAATATAGGTTGTCAAACACATGTTGTTACATTCCTCAAAGGTTGAGGGTGGAGGTCATACCATAACCCTCCTTAAAGTCAAGCATTACGAGGGCCA